AAAAAAAAAAAATCTTTAAAAAATATAAAATATTCAATTCACCCAGAAGGTATAATAATTCTGTGTAGGGACTGAATAATAATGATAACCTTAAAATACACATAGCAAAAATTAACCTAATAAGGAGAAACTGAATAGTTCATCATTATAATGGAATATTTTAACACATCTTTCTCAGAAAAGAGGGACAAAATAAATCATTAACTAAGTTTATAATTTGAACATTATAATGGCCAAAACTTTTAGGCACACATGAAAGTTTTAAAAATTATCCCCTTCCTAAGTCGTAAATCCACTGATGTTTTCAAGAATTTCTGACAATTCTGTTATAGTCAGAGTCAATAACAGAAATGTACCAAAAATTATTTCATGTAATTTGGAATAAAAATAATAAAAACAGTTCAAAGGGCAAGAATTACCCTGGAAATAAAGAAATAATCATACTAAATGTTAATAAAAGTGCTACCTATCATTACTAGTGGGAAATACCTAAGGGAGTATCTCAAAGGGATTTTATAACTCAAATGCTTATACTTGCAAAGAATAATGCAAAATTAATAAGCCAGACATTCAACTTAATAATCAAAGACCAAAATGGGTTTAAAAGGTAGGAGAAAAAATAATGATGACAAGAGTAGAAATTAGTGAAATGGGAAGCAAAGATAAATGGAAAAGAACAACCAAGCCAGAAAATATGATCCTTGAAAAACGGAGGGATGGAGGGATGGACGGGAGACAAGAAGGGAGAGCACGAGCAAGATCAATAATGAGAGTGTGCATGCAACCAGGAGCAAGAGAGTGCTCTAGCAAAAGCAGAAAGGCACAAATAAGCCACAATAGGAATCAAAGTGGGACATTGCCACCACAAGGGAAATGATTAAACATACAACAAGAGAAAATTATATATTACTCTTTGCAAGTTACTATGGGTTAAATTGTGCCCCCCCAAAGTTTAATGTGTTGGAGGCTTGGTCCCCACTGACAGTGTTATGAGGGCAGAAAATTCTATTATAGTAATCGAAAGGTGGGGCCTAAAAGAGGTGATTAGATTATGAGGACCATGCTCAAGTAAACGGATTAATCCACTGATGGTTTAATGTTAATCATGGGCATGGTTCCGAGGCCTATAAAGA